GATTGTAGGCTCCTCCAAGAGGACTTATACAAGCTGCAGAGATGATCAGAGAAATGGCTATTGGAGTTCAATACGAGCAAGTGCAAAGTTTTGGAAATGTGATTAGATGAAAGGAGACAAAAAGGTCAGTACACAATAAAGGGATAAAGGGGAAACTACCTACATGTGACGATTCGAGAAAGAGACCTGGAAGTGAACGTAACACCACATCTAACACCCGAGTCACATAAATCGGATAACGACAACAGCGTACTCTATGCTAGCAAAAGATACAACGTCATTTAGAAACCTAAGTAAGGAGGCGTTTATAGCACTTTACACTGTCTAAGTGAGACCAGTCTTAGAGTATCCCCCCTTCCCCATTATGGAACCCTCAACTGAAAAACACACAAGGAATCTGCATAAGGTTCAGAAATTTGCGAAGAAGCTCGTCCCAGAGTTGTGAGAAATAAGGTATGAAGAGTGACTTAAGGAACTGAACCTGATGACTCTAGAAAAATGGAGGGAACGGAGGGGTATTTTAGAAACATAAATACTTAGGGGAGCTGACAGAGTGGATATAAACGAAATGTTCACACGGAATACCAGAAGAACAAAGGGACATGGGTGGAAGCTGGAAACTCAGATGAGTCATAGAGATGTTAGAAAGTTTTCTTTTAGGAAGAGAGTAGTGGAAAAAATTAAATGAACTAATGAAGCACGTTGTGAAAGCAAAATTTATTCATAATATTAAAAGTATATATGATGGAGAAATAGGTCAGAAGTCATTGGTTTAAACAACCGGCGTCTAGACAGGCGGGATCCAAGAGCCAATGCTCGATCCTGAGAGCATAAATAAGTGAGAATAAATAGGTAGGCGAGCGCGCACGCACGCACACGCACACGTACGTATGCACGCGGACACACACACAATATGATATATTATATTACATATTATATATTATATTATATATTATATTATATATTATATTATATATTATATTATATATTATATTATATATTATATATATATAATATATATATAAATAAAATACTGAAAGATCAATACACCTTTGCTCCATCAAAGCAATGATTCAATGGTTCCATCGCCTGTGAAGTTTTAATTAATTCTAGTAAATCTGCTGATGGTTGTAGACTATAGTTGCTTGGAGTGTATGGCGTTAGGAGCTCATTAAGTCTTTTTGCCAGGTGATAGGTCGGAGTTGGTATTTTGCTGATTATTGGGTGTAGTGGGTTACCTGGTTTGTGTCTTAATATTTGCCATAAGCATATCCTAAGCCATAGTCACGCTGTAGTTTAGTGAAATGAACAGTGTCTTTCTTTGCGTTGATTGCAGTAATAATTCTGTTCACTTTGCGTTTAAGGTCTTCCACAGGATTCCTCGTGATTCGTTGAAATTTAGTGACATCACTGAGGATGTCGCTAATTTTATTCATGTATTCTTGGGTAAGAATTACCACACATGCTGCTGTCTTGTCGGCTTTTCTTATTGTTACATCTTCCAGATTTTTTAGTTGTATTGCTGCTTCTTTGAGTCGTGGGATTAAGATTGTTGATGAGTATGTTCCTTGTTTTTTCCCGCTTCTGTTAGTAGTTCAGCCTGAAGTGTGTCAGTGGTGATGACTTTCTTGTTGTCTTCCAGCTTGTGGATGTCGTCCAGAAGCATTTCAATTTCAAGGCGTTTTTTGCGCTTCTTTGGTTTAGATATGAATTTACAATTTAGACCAAGATTTAAGAGGTCTCGTTGATCCTGTATACAATTAATATATATATATATATATATATATATATATATATATATATATATATATATATATATATATATATAAATTTTTAACTAAAATAAGAAATCCCAAAGATGTTTAATCGTGTCCTTTGCTGTTAACTTATGACATCTTAAAATACAAAAAGAAACCAATACTTTTTGGACACAAAATATATAGACCCCCACCATAAACACGGTCACTTCTTAATACCAATTTCCACATAAAAGCAAATACAGTACACAAAGGGATAATTAATGATAAAATTAATGAATAAAAACCCATCATGAATACAAAAAAAAAGTTATGTAATACACGTAAATTGGCGAGTGTGCGAGAGACGACGACTCGGCTCACCACACCACCACGCTGAGGAAGTGCAAGATTATGGTTGTCTAGAGCACGGTTTACCTCAGGTGGAGACCTGGTTGTGCTCAGACCTGAGGAGGGTGTTTCCCTGGAAACACAAACCGAAACTGTCTCTATTTTCCGCTTGTTACAACTTGTAATAAAGTTGTTACATCTTGGCTTAACGTGTTTATGACGTATTAGAACGTTGTTACAACTTGCTATATTGGTTGTTATAACTGGTTAGGAGGTGTTAAAACTTGTTCGGACGTTGTACCAACGTCGTAGTTTCGATGTGTGTTTGGAGGGTTGTGTCTCGAGGGCCAGGGAGTCGTCAGAGTTGGTTCAGGTCCCAGAGAGTCTGGTCCTTGAAACGTAATCCTTTTGGTAATACTGTAAATGGAAGCGCACCTGTAGACGGTACTCAGGGCAGGTAGCAAGGTACTTAATGAGGGGCAGATGTACTGGAGGGTCAGTCACAGGGGCTCACAAGGAGTGGGGCTCATACAGGTGGCGGGGATGTTTACCCACTGTGTGGACACGTCAGGTGTAAGGAGCACCAACACTGACCAAGGTAGACGCTATACAGTAACAATATACTCACATTAAGCATGGCGGGGACTCAGCGACGTCACTATACCTGCAATAAGATGAACACTTATTTTCCATTCCTTATTTATACCTTATAATTCACTAATCAGTACATACAAAAGTATTTGGAAAAAATAAAGTCTGTAATATTTAATTTTATTAGTTAATTATTAAATGCAAATAAACATATTTTCTTTTCACTTATATAAATTATTATGCACCCAATACCAATCATGTGAGTGGCAGTGGAGAAGGTTACGAGGGCACATAATGGGGTCAGAAAATAAACATAAAAATTTAGTTAGTTAAAGCAAGTTAGTTTTCATAAACTAGTTACATAATTTAACCAATACATCAACAGTCTTTTATAGCACACAGTGAGATCAGGAAGTGAACCTCAAAGTTCAGGAGGTGCCCCACCAGGGTTAGTATGGTTGACCCGCCTACACTGGTAATGGTCTTCACACCCTTACCTTTCTACCATCCTTTTTACGGGCAACCGGTAAAACTGCAGCCTTCGTTCTCATCCATAATGATGAATATATGTCACCAAACTAAAAGAATTCTGCCATGATGAGATCAAATTCAAGAAGATTCAATGAGAATGCAAAATTCAATGAGATCAAATTCTGCCCGAAACTCTGCGCGTACTAGTGACTTTGCAAGATTGTAATTACTATACTATGTATCCTCACAATCCCAATGTACCTTCTTGTATATATATAAATAAATAAATAAATAAATAAATAAATAAAGATAACATCTTCAGTAGGGTTTCAGGTTAGGAAGAAAGACAATTGATGCAGTGAATGCGAAAAAGGCAGCATCCACCTGCAAAAGGTCCAGGGTGACTATACTCTAGGATACATTTACAATAATGTCAAAACCCACAAACCAGGTATCAGTCAGTTCCCTACACCCATATATAATCTAGGTAAATAACTCAACACTATACTCACTCCGTATGTACCAAATACCTACAGCTTGAAATCAATCGTCAATTTCTTAAGACATAGTGAAGATCACTAAACCCGAGGGTATCATAGCATCTCTAGACGTAGGATCCGTATTTACGAACGTAAATAACTATCATCTTCATGTTAGAATCTACCGTGACCATTCTATTCCTAAGCTCGATATCCCAGAGTCTGCCCTCCATAATCTCCTAGAGATTTGTACTAAAATAAATCACTAATTTTTCATTCACCTTTCTATTCACTATTAGCATTCACAACCCCTCGGGGAGACGTGTATACGCCGATAGACGGAGGGAATTGTCAGGGGAAAGCACCAAGCCATTGCGACTATGTAGCATTGGGATGGGATCAGGGATTAGGTTTTGGGATGGGACGGGGGGGGGGGGAAGGAATGGTATCCAACCACTTAGACAGTCAGGGATTGAACGAAGACCTGCATGAAGCGAGACCGTCGCTCTACCGTCCAGCCCAAGTGGTTGGACGGAGTAGTCATTGCGTCCCCACTAGGCGCTCTCTTTGCAAGCCTCTATATGGGAACACTAGAAGATAGCATCTTCAAAACCACAGGGAAGCCTCGCATCTACTGCTGAGACATCGATGGTATATTTGTACGTGTGACAGACATCCACGAATGGTCGCGATTAAAGGAACTACTTACCCGAAACTCGGTACTTAATTTCCCACATGAACTGTGCATGGCTGGTGCACTCCCTTTGCTCGATGTCAACGCGAGAACCAAGGACAACACTTTCACCACACAAGTTTATACTAAACCACCAACATTGAAGTGTGCATCAATGGCCACGGTGAATGCCCGGATATAAGACTAGTGTGATGAACTGACTTATAAGCAGAGCCCTCACTCATTGTTCCGACTGACATAACATACAAAAACAACTGGACAGAAGCCTTCAAGTATTAATGAAAAACGGGAACACGAATAGAGAAGTCAAAACCCATATCAGAAGTTATTTAGAAACATGGTATAACCGGGAAGAACAACTAACAACAAACAACCCCTCCCATAAAACTATTACAAATCCAATATGAGCTCACAATACAAAACTGAGGAAAGAATAATTAAAAATATAATTACAAATCGTGTGAAACCGACAGCCCCAGACCAAAGATTGAATTAACTACAAAACAAAACAGACTGCTAATTTAATATTCAAGAACAGCCTCAATAAACAACACAACCCTCTCTAAAAAGCAAACGTGGTGTACCAATTTACTCGTGCCAGTGAAGGATGTCACCCTCGATCTCCCAACGATTCCCTTGCTGTTGTATGGCCACCACAAAGCCTTGGAGAAGACTGACCTGCCACCTGCAAGCTGGTGCCCCTAGTAACCATATTCAACGTGAACATAACACACCAGTCACTAGGAACATGCTAGTAGAATATACTAGTATAATATCCTGGAATATACCACTGGGCAAAGAATATTGTAAATCTTGGAAGTCATAATCATAAGAAAAATGAAGACCCCACTTTAATATACTAAATAGCGACTTCGATATCATGTCGACACTCAAATCCAGACGTCACCAGATAACGATGACGTCTCTACCGAGGTCTCCCCCGCCCACCAGAGTACCGAGGTCTCCCCCGCCCACCAGAGTACCGAGGTCTCCCCCGCCCACCAGAGTACCGAGGTCTCCCCCGCCCACCAGGGTACCGAGGTCTCCCCCGCCCACCAGAGTACCAAGGTCTCCCCCGCCCACCAGAGTACCGAGGTCTCCCCCGCCCACCAAGAGTACCGAGGTCTCCCCCGCCCACCAAGAGTACCGAGGTCTCCCCCGCCCACCAAGAGTACCGAGGTCTCCCCCGCCCACCAAGAGTACCGAGGTCTCCCCCGCCCACCAAGAGTACCGAGGTCTCCCCCGCCCACCAAGAGTACCGAGGTCTCCCCCGCCCACCAAGAGTACCGAGGTCTCCCCCGCCCACCAAGAGTACCGAGGTCTCCCCCGCCCACCAGAGTACCGAGGTCTCCCCCGCCCACCAGAGTACCGAGGTCTCCCCCGCCCACCAAGAGTACCGAGGTCTCCCCCGCCCACCAAGAGTACCGAGGTCTCCCCCGCCCACCAGAGTACCGAGGTCTCCCCCGCCCACCAGAGTACCGAGGTCTCCCCCGCCCACCAAGAGTACCGAGGTCTCCCCCGCCCACCAAGAGTACCGAGGTCTCCCCCGCCCACCAAGAGTACCGAGGTCTCCCCCGCCCACCAAGAGTACCGAGGTCTCCCCCGCCCACCAGAGTACCGAGGTCTCCCCCGCCCACCAGAGTACCGAGGTCTCCCCCGCCCACCAAGAGTACCGAGGTCTCCCCCGCCCACCAAGAGTACCGAGGTCTCCCCCGCCCACCAGAGTACCGAGGTCTCCCCCGCCCACCAGAGTACCGAGGTCTCCCCCGCCCACCAAGAGTACCGAGGTCTCCCCCGCCCACCAAGAGTACCGAGGTCTCCCCCGCCCACCAAGAGTACCGAGGTCTCCCCCGCCCACCAAGAGTACCGAGGTCTCCCCCGCCCACCAAGAGTACCGAGGTCTCCCCCGCCCACCAAGAGTACCGAGGTCTCCCCCGCCCACCAAGAGTACCGAGGTCTCCCCCGCCCACCAGAGTACCGAGGTCTCCCCCGCCCACCAGAGTACCGAGGTCTCCCCCGCCCACCAAGAGTACCGAGGTCTCCCCCGCCCACCAAGAGTACCGAGGTCTCCCCTGCCCACCAGAGTACCGAGGTCTCCCCCGCCCACCAGAGTACCGAGGTCTCCCCCGCCCACCAAGAGTACCGAGGTCTCCCCCGCCCACCAAGAGTACCGAGGTCTCCCCCGCCCACCAAGAGTACCGAGGTCTCCCCCGCCCACCAAGAGTACCGAGGTCTCCCCCGCCCACCAGAGTACCGAGGTCTCCCCCGCCCACCAGAGTACCGAGGTCTCCCCCGCCCACCAAGAGTACCGAGGTCTCCCCCGCCCACCAAGAGTACCGAGGTCTCCCCCGCCCACCAAGAGTACCGAGGTCTCCCCCGCCCACCAGAGTACCGAGGTCTCCCCCGCCCACCAGAGTACCGAGGTCTCCCCCGCCCACCAAGAGTACCGAGGTCTCCCCCGCCCACCAGAGTACCGAGGTCTCCCCCGCCCACCAGAGTACCGAGGTCTCCCCCGCCCACCAAGAGTACCGAGGTCTCCCCCGCCCACCAAGAGTACCGAGGTCTCCCCCGCCCACCAAGAGTACCGAGGTCTCCCCCGCCCACCAGAGTACCGAGGTCTCCCCCGCCCACCAAGAGTACCGAGGTCTCCCCCGCCCACCAGAGTACCGAGGTCTCCCCCGCCCACCAGAGTACCGAGGTCTCCCCCGCCCACCAGAGTACCGAGGTCTCCCCCGCCCACCAAGAGTACCGAGGTCTCCCCCGCCCACCAGAGTACCGAGGTCTCCCCCGCCCACCAAGAGTACCGAGGTCTCCCCCGCCCACCAGAGTACCGAGGTCTCCCCCGCCCACACCACCGAGAATACAATAATTTTACGCAACGTTTGACAATGTTGTTTGACTTACCCAATGTGTGACATGCCCTCTCCTCTTATTCTGTGTGTGTGTGTGTGTGTGTGTGTGTGTGTGTGTGTGTGTGTGTGTGTGTGTGTGAATGTAAGTGTGAGTGTGAGTGTGAGTGAGAGAGTGAGAGAGAGAGTGTCCCTCCCTCTCTGAGTGACAGAGTGTCTCTCAGTCCCTCCCCCTCATCTTCCTCTCCCTTTCTCCATTTCTCATGAAATTTACTATTAAAAGCACTGAAATAACTTTATGGGTCTCTCAGAAAATGTATTTTTACGAATGACAGGAAACTCTGCGAGAAGCACATCAAATATTTTACACTTGATTCCATAAAAACTGCAATTATAGCGTGACGCAAAAAAAAAATATTTAACTTAAGCCGACCCCGACGAGCCTATGTCCGTCCCATACCCTAGACCATTTCCCCTACAAATTTGGGTGAGGCTAACCTGAAGCATTTGGCCTCCAACTTTGGACAAACAAGGGGGGAGGGAACTATCAAGAAAAAGCACTAAGCCATTACGACTTGATCCTGATCACTGGGAAGGGATCAGGATAAGGATTTGGTATGGGACGGGGAGAACGAATGGTCCCCAAGCACTTGGATCGTAGGGGATTGAACGCCGACCTGCATGAAGCGAGACCGTGTCTCTACCGATAAGTAACAAGTAATTATCTTTCGTATTATATATATATATATATATATATATATATATATATATATATATATATATATATATATATATATATATATATATATATATATATATATATATCTTAACATTAAACTTGCTATACACATTCAAAACAGCACTGCTTTCTAGGCTGTTACAGAATTATATTTATATATATGAAATAACCTTTTACCACTGTTACGACGTGGTCTGGCGAGCACACTCAACAGGACCCTTGCAACAAGCAATAACAGTGAGCTCAAACTTTTATATATCCCATAAAAATGTGTAAAAGGTTTGGATGTATTTAGTCACTTTCATCAAATTTTGTTCTGGCCGATTTTAGGGTAGAGAGGTGGATTATACCTCACGAAAAATTTAATACAATCTACTAACACTTTCTCAGTAATGAATAGTGTAAAAATTGATGGAATATTTTTTGTTTTAGTCAATTAAGATATTATCATCTTTAATACGACTAAAACAGGTTATAACTGCATACAGGTACAGTGAAATTAAATTGATTGTAATGCAGATATATTCAAAATGTTGATATATGCAAACCAATTTTATTTCTAGTTTTGAATTATAGGAATATTAATAGGCATAACAGAATGTGAGAGTAACCCTAACCTGGCCGAGGCCTAAATAACAATCCTCGGTCTAACATACACAAGCTTAGGCCTAACATGCTCAATTAATAGTACAAAACGGTGATTATTTTTCTTGTGGTAGGGAGGGGGGTTCAATCGCGTGTGATTTATATATCAATTTATAGTAACTATATGTATTTTCAGTACTGGATGAAAGGTTAAATAATTGAAAACAGTCATAAACAACATTTGTAAAACTCCGGGGTTAATCACTCGGTAAAGGTAGTGTATAAACGTCAATCTTCACTATAGCACTAACATGCCTACTGGTACACAGTCATTAAAGGAAAATAACCGCCTTAATCTCACCTTGCTGAAAGAGATGTGTGTCACTCTGCAATCCTAATAAACATTAATGAACCAAAACAATATTATAACACTATGGAAAGAATGTTTTTCACCAAAATAACAGACTTCGTAAAATGATACTATAGATATAGACTTACTATAGCCATGAGCTTCGAAGAACCAATGTGTTATGATGGACCAACAATAAGTTGACGTTTGCATTATAGAATTCGGCCAAATGAGGGGGGAAAAAATCAACGCAATATAGAACCAAACTTAAATTACACTAACATCTCTAGCAATCCTAGGCCTAAACCACGCTATATTAGACCTAATATAGTACATATATGTGGTATATTAAGCCTCACAATGTTTGAGTTTGGTTTTAACTCTTTTTTCAGGACTCTTATAAAATTAAAAGTACAAAAAAGTGAACTTTTTGGCGGTTCATCACTACATATGGTTTCCTTCGACCAAACTTTTGCTACAAGAACTATCATTTCAGGAGGATGGGTTATAATGTTCACGGGTTGACCTTAGTCTACTTAACAGATTTTGTTCTATTAAAATATGGTTCACCTTTGTTAGTGGCATATTACACCATCTTTACTTATATAAAGATGTTTATATAAGACTCATATGTTTATAAATGTATGTTTATAAAGACTTATATTCTGCCCGAAACGCTGCGCGTACTAGTGGCTTTACAAGATTGTAAATACTCTGCTATGTATTCTCACAAACCCAATGTACCTTCTTGTATATAAATAAAATAAAATAAAACAAACAAATTGCTCCAAGGGATTATTAAAGATGGACAACGCTTTCTTCGTATCCTGTGAGCATTACTTGCCCGACACGCTATGCGTACTAGTGGCTTTAGGTATTTTATGTACTAGCTATAGCTATAAATCCAACATTATGTTTGTAAATCAACTATGTATGTACTTTCCTGAATAAAATTGAATTTACTAAACAATACTTGGCGTGGTATATGTTTATATCAACTATCGGCCACCATGGGCTGGTAGGAGAGGAAGTGCTTGTCGCACTGGCACCACTGCTCGTGATCAGGTCATTTAAACAATGTTACCTTGGATTCCTCCACCGTCATTTTACATGGGTATTACCAACGTGGATGTGACCATTTCACTTCCACGTGTAGCTGGGAAATCCAGTCCACCGATAGTATTGATGGCCAAATACACGGTAAGGGCTTGCCATAGGTTCTGAACACGACTTCCTTTCTAGTACTCAGGCTCCGCCACATACTGTAAACAAAGTAGTGAACTAAAGTTACACAGTAAACAGACTTCCTCCCTCTCATCCATTCACATCTCGCCAGGTATTGCATAGTTTTACAAGAAGTAGGCCTTCAGACGTCTCTTGCTTCCACAGAGATGGTTGCTAATCGTTGAATGGGCGAGGCCAGCGTTCAACGCTATAACCAGATGAGTGCTCGGGATAAAGCTGGATAAGATACGGTGAGCCTTTACGCTCCATAATATTTAGACATCTAGTAATGATTATTATACAGTCAGGGGTGAACTTGTGGTGTGTGACCTCTCAGATCACCTTCAGGTCATTTCAGGAAACGGTTTAATGGGCCAGCCAGAGGCTTAGGACCCGCGCAGGAATTTCCCTGAAGAAAAAAAATCAGGAAACGTGCCTTGTAATGCTTAGCCGTATTAAATTATGTCAGTGATAAACCAAGCGTCATCTTGTATGACGCAGAATATTCCATAATACACCACCTAGCTACACATTATATGCAATTATATATTCCAACTGAAAATATTACTCAGCAGTCCTATATAATAGTGTTGAGTACATATGAGAAGATGACTCAGAGCAGAACTGTGTTATGATGAACTGCTGTATCTTGACTTCTCTCAGAACACCACACGACCTGTAAATAACTATACTCTCAACAACACATGGCAACACAAGACCCTTATAACAACACACGACACTCACAGCAACACACGACACTCACAGCAACACACGACACTCACAGCAACACACGACACTCACAGCAACACACGACACTCACAGCAACACAAGACACTCACAGCAACACAAGACACTCACAGCAACACAAGACACACTCACAGCAACACAAGACACACTCACAGCAATACAAGACACACTCACAGCAAGACAAGACACACTCACAGCAATACAAGACACACTCACAGCAACACAAGACACTCACAGCAACACAAGACACACTCACAGCAACACAAGACACTCACAGCAATACAAGACACACTCACAGCAACACAAGACACTCACAGCAACACAAGACACTCTCACAGCAACACAAGACACACTCACAGCAACACAAGACACGCTCACAGCAACACAAGACACGCTCACAGCAACACAAGACACACTCACAGCAACACAAGACACACTCACAGCAACACAAGACACACTCACAGCAACACAAGACACACTCACAGCAACACAAGACACACTCACAGCAACACAAGACACTCACAGCAACACAAGACACACTCACAGCAACACAAGACACACTCACAGCAACACAAGACACACTCACAGCAACACAAGACACACTCACAGCAACACAAGACACACTCACAGCAACACAAGACACACTCACAGCAACACAAGACACTCACAGCAATACAAGACACACTCACAGCAACACAAGACACTCACAGCAACACACGACACTCACAGCAACACAAGACACTCAGAGCAACACAAGACACTCACAGCAACACAAGACACTCACAGCAATACAAGACACACTCACAGCAACACAAGACACTCACAGCAACACAAGACACTCTCACAGCAACACAAGACACACTCACAGCAACACAAGACACACTCACAGCAACACAAGACACACTCACAGCAACACAAGACACTCACAGCAATACAAGACACACTCACAGCAACACAAGACACTCACAGCAACACACGACACTCACAGCAACACAAGACACTCAGAGCAACACAAGACACTCACAGCAACACAAGACACTCACAGCAACACAAGACACTCACAGCAATACAAGACACACTCACAGCAACACAAGACACTCACAGCAACACAAGACACTCTCACAGCAACACAAGACACACTCACAGCAACACAAGACACACTCACAGCAACACAAGACACTCTCACAGCAACACAAGACACTCTCACAGCAACACAAGACACAAAGCAAGACAAGACACACTCACAGCAAGACAAGACACACTCACAGCAAGACAAGACACACTCACAGCAAGACAAGACACACTCACAGCAAGACAAGACACACTCACAGCAAGACAAGACACACTCACAGCAAGACAAGACACACTCACAGCAA